TTTGTAGCCTAACAATATATGTTTAGATTTAGAGAACGAGATCGTACCATGACGCAATGTATACTATTCAATCACATGTTAATCCGTTTTTCAATAAAATGAACGTAAATCAACAGCGATCGATCGCGACGATATCTCTGTTTTTTGTTAAATTACAGAATCGGTGTAATTTAAAGATAGAAATGAAGTTTAATATAATTAATAGACGATTGATTAATTAAGTAATTTGTTTTCACGGTACAGTACGTGATTTGTAAGAAATCTTTTAGGCGATAAATTTCATTCACAAGTTTATCAACGATTGGATGCATTACAAGAGGAAATCGGAGCGAAACAATTGTTATACAGGCATAAGATTGAAATGAGCGTCGCCCTAATACCGCAGGTTTCGATAACATTTTCTGTACATATACATTTCTGTATGTACATTCTGTACATTTTCTGTTTCTACAACGTTGCTCGGTGTGCGATGCGGGTCGATGGAAATTATTTCGTGTGTTGCACATTTACGTCGCGACGCCACGTACATCAGCATAATTGCTATACGTAGACGAGTTATGTGGTCTGGTTGAATCCAACGAATCGCAAGAGGCACAAATATGTAATTACTGTGGCGAGAGAATTATTTAATAATTAAGTCAACGGACAAATACGTAAACTTTAGAAAAACGATCAAATACAATAAGTGGATCATCTACCCGTCGAAACTGTTTCATTGATATTAATAAACTAGTGTCACGATTACGACCAAATCATTTTGTAGAGAAAGAAGTTTTTCCGATCGTAACTTTGTGACGAATATTGGTTTAATAGTTTCGAAGGAGGATATGTAACAACATGGAGCATTTAATTTAATTTATTTAGCATTTAATTTATGTAGAGCTGAAGAGAATTATCAGAGAAAATTGAATGGGTTAAAAATTAATTCTTTTTTTTTTTTTGCACTACTTTGATAGGCATCGGGTCACTTTATATAGGTATAACATGCAAGTGATTCATATCGAGTTACAGAAGGAGCGATCTCATATAATATTTCAACTCATTCGTTTCGTATTAGCAATGATATTTCCTCTTGAATTGAATATAAATTACGAGAGTGCCTCGAAATTGCATTATATTTAATTCTCGAAAAAACAAGATATTCCCAATTTTCTAATCAACCTAAATTCAGTGTACAAATAATATTTCTTACTTTTATCTATGATAGTGGCAACTGTATAGTACGAGAGACGTTTCTACGAAAATTTAAACCCTGGTTTCCCTCTTGAGACATAGAAAAACAAGATTACGAATAATGCCATCGAAAGTCCAGGGACAAGAAAGTAGAGAAGACAATAATACTAAATGTAGCACATGGCCTCTGAGAACCTCTCTAGTGTCCTGTCCCCGTGAATTCGTTGAAGAAAAACCTTTTCCGAAACTGAAGAACCATTCAAGATTTGTCTAGTGCTTCATTCTGATGATAACCAGACGACTGGGGCTATCGATGCACGAAGCGCATTTAAGTAAGCGCGTTTCTAAGTAAGATTTACAAGATTTTCAAATACATGTCCAAATTTCGAGATCTTCAAGTTCTTACGTATTTAACGCAATACGAATATTATCGAAGAAACAAAATCGTACGTTATTACTTTAATGTATAATATTATTGTTTAAGGATCAACGATGACATATTTTTTTTGTTACAAATGTTCGTTTCAGTAACGTTAATAGAACGTAAAATAAGGTATAATAAAAGTTGTTTGGAGCATAATAACGAGGAAACGGTTTACCTCGTACAAAGCGTATAAGGAAGCCAGAGAATCCAGGAAGTAATGACTAATACAGTTACAGTAAAGTTAATCAAACCTACCGTTAAAGGAACGTAACTTGGGTATTCTACGACATTCTACGCGTTACTGTAATAACAAGGGCATCGGTATTGCTACTGATATATAAAAAGATCAACGATATTCATCGACTGATACGCAGTAAGTATTGCGTGAAAAATTCCTTAGAGGTATCGGAGGAAGAACAGAAAAAAAGGAAGAAGAAGAATCGCAAGGAAACACCCTGGGAAAGATACGAGGATAAAGCCAGGAATAAAGAATAGGAAAACTACCACTGCATGTACACGTAATAGTAACCATTTGAAACGTCATTAAAAAAGTAATCTGGAATGTTAAGAAGTAAAAAAGATGAAAATCAAAGACAAGCATGGAATCCGTGTCACCAATTACATCGAGTTCGTGCTTTATATTAGCGTAACTTATGTCAGCGACAATATCTAATCATCGTGGCAAAGCCACATACGAAATGAACATAGAGGTGAAATAAAATAGCCAGAACTACGTTCTCTCTATTCGTTGCGCTTCGATGACCCCGAAAAAATGCAATCTGCTGGAATGTTGAAGTTGCATTCGACGAATGCATGTAACACCAAAGAAGGAGCCCAATGCACATGGAATCAGCTAATTCGAATTATATCGAACGGTATCCAGCTTCGAAAATCTTCCACACGTTAATACAGAAATAATAAGTCGGATGATCGTCGTTCGTTAATGTCGAAGCATTGTTGAAACCGACACTAATGAATCCGTGAAAACGAACCATAAATTATCGCTTCAGCTGATAAAACATTTTCGTATCATCTTTATCTTCGTACTCGATAAAAAGAATTGGATTGTTGAGAATTTCCCGATTAAAATGCACGTATCTCCGTTTATTTATTTCCACATTTATTTCAATTTCTATTGCGAGTTAAATAAAAGTAATTTCGTTAATACTCGGCTAATGGGAAATCTTTAAATGCTTCAACTGGAATTTAAACGTATTAACTGTTTCTAATTATAGTTATGAGCCATTATCATTCGAATATATTATCTCGCGTCGATAAATAACATTTTTTCTTATAAAGACAATGGTATCGTTCTAACCAAATTCACTCTTTCTTTATCGATCCTTTAATGTCCGTAAGTACCATACAATACATACGCAAGAATGTTTATCAGTTTCTTGCTTGTACTACCTCAAAGAATTAGAAGAGATGAGAGACTCGATAACAACGATTTGTTCCATACATTAGTCACAACAGAGAAGCAGATACTATACGTTTTCTTTTAGAAACGAAATAGCTTGGTTTCCTTTAACGATTCAATGGTAATCGCTTTTTCAAGGAGTACGTTATTTTTCGTCAAATTACTCGAAGCAAATGCGGTCGAATGTAGCGTCGCGTCGGCTGCGGAAGAAACGGTCGCGGTAAAATTTCTCAGACGTTGAATAAAACGATGCACTTGTTACGGAATCTACTCCACTCTTTTTACGCTGACGATAAGAAGAAAGGAAAAATGATTATGGCTAGCATCGTCCGGCAGGTATAACGACGAATGTGGAACCTCTGTTCTGCGCAGTAGGTTTGCATGTATAGAGTATATAAAATGCGTGTGTCGTTTGAGGCACGCACCTGAGCGTGAAGCGAGGGACCAACGTTAATGCACCGACCTGGCTTCCACCTGCGCTAGACGAGTCGAAATGTTTTTCCTTTACTAAGAAATCCGTAGGTACGCCGACCCTTTGGACGCCGTGTACTTAGGCACGATCCCTCAATGAGAGAAAATACATTCCGACCAAAAATTCTGACCGCCATAAATTTCCTATGTTATAGACATGCGCTTAAAATATTCCTAACGATTCGCGTTAATCTCGAGAATCGCTCAAGCTAATTAGCATTAATCGAGAGCAAAAAGCGTAGAAACTGACTCCGTTCTTGCGGCGCTAGACGCTGTTTTCAGTTAGCGAAGACTTTTAAAAGCTTTCACGAATGAAATTACGAACACAAGAGATGATATAAAGGGAAAGTAACCTAGAATACTCGAGACTAATTAATAAGCGTGATAAAATTTCGTATAGGATAAAACTGCGCTACGTTTTTACGCGTAAAGGAATAGCAAAGGGAAGCGGTTGAACAACGCAAGATATCGCGATTGTAAGACGATCGATATCCTACTGGTCTGTTTTACGAATACGACATCATACAGGTATATCGAGGCATGAACTTTTCCCTTGTTAGATGCGTCTTTCACGTGCCGATAATTACGCGTGCAACATTCTAATGCTTGGATTAATAGGTTTGATTTGTGAAACAGAAATAGCGTCTTACGTGTCTTTCCGTGATTACTTCGGTTGTTAATAGGCTACCTGGTCATTGCACCAACATTATCGACCAGACACTCGTAATTCCGTATTTCCTTCTTTTACTTATGAAGCGCTATAGCCAGCGATCGAGTAAATCGAAATAATATTTCAGAGCTAAGAATCACAGGAGGAAACTTGGACGCTGTTTGATGCCGGATGCTGGAGACTTCAACACGCCGAGCAAGATCCAGCGATCGTTATTTTACATATAATGCATTTAATTCTATTCAATAGCAAATATATATATATATATTTATATATATAGGTATATATACCTATGCAACTGTATACAAGTTACGAAAGCAATACCTGAAGAAGAACAATTAAAAGGAAGAATATTTGAAAGATACCTAGACAAATGTCCGACAAGTTCGAGGAAAGGAAGGCTTAAAGGTACGTAGAATTCATAAGAAGCGAGAAAACGTTTATTTTAGTCTATCCTGGTGTAGATAAAGCAGTAACAGTACTTCAGGTAGACTGTAGACGATCAGGTGTGCGGAACGGTTTGGCAGGGCGGTCTCCCCACCTGTCACGAATTCAATGCTACTGAGTTCATCGTTTGCGTTGATCCACGTAGAAATTTGAACGACAACGCAGCATAGGTTACCCGCCACTAGATCAAAAAATCAATACACGATCGAAAACATTTTATTTATTCGTACGGCGTTCGGCGATTTAATTTAACTCGATAAAATTGAAAGGTTTGACGTTCTGCGTTCTAGATCTTGGGTCGTAAAGCGAGTTGCAGGGGCCGTAGCGACAAGCAGAGAGAAACACGGAGTAAGAAACGACGCGCGAATGGCGAACATGCCCGGGGCCTTACTCACCTGCCACGACGTATCGCGCCCGCATTGTCGTTGACCGGTCTAAAGATCTGCAATCGAACTCGAGGACACCCGCACTTACGGCGTCTCTTGTTGCACATTCACTCGCGAGACATCCTCGGTCACCGCACTCGTCCCTTTTATTTTACAATTATTTAGGAAAGACGCACGCTTTTGCTTTTCACGCACTATAGAGCGGCACTGGTCGCTTCGCTCCTTCACGTAATACATCCACCCGCACCGACTATGACCGTCGAGAAACACACACCGAGCGAGACTGCGGCGGCTCTTCTGGAGAACGTTCGGTTGCTATTGTGAAATCTCCCTCCATCGACTCTGAGCACCATCGCCACGGCACTAGCATGCTACGGCCCTGTGTCGTTACCAACACCGGCTGGATCGCTTCTATGTCTATCTTTCTCTTGATCCTACTGCCAGGTGCGGACCAATCGATCGAACTCTGACAATATTTCAATGCATTTTAATCCAAATTCAGTATAATTGGATATCGTAGTATGCCACATCAATAATATACAAGTTTTGAATATTACGATTAATATACATGAAAATATCTTACGAATTATTATGAATTATCAATGCATATTTTCATATTTGTTTTTAAACGATTATAGTTGTATGAAGCATTACTCGGGTACGAGATACTAATATAATAATTGGATATTTCGGTGAAATAGAAAATCCTGTTGTAAAAATGTGAGTATTAGCATAATTACTTATCTTAAAACAATTCATATATCACTTCACATTAAATAAGAGTTTTTACCTTGTTTGATAAGTTTCAACGTTTAAAAATATGTTTATTGATATGTACAATAGAAGTAAGAAAATGGTATGAGATCCTAGTTATTTGTTTTGAAATGAAAATAAAAAAAAATACCTCTTACCGTGACAATGCCGTTAGACATTGCCGTGACCAGGATTCGAACCTGGGTTACTACGGCCACAACGTAGGGTCCTAACCACTAGACGATCACGGCTAACAGAGGACTTGTGAAACGTCTCTTTTTGGATAGTTTTATATGGTACAACAATACAATCTCAAATTCTTTTATATATTTCGTATTACAAATTATTTAATATGATTATTGGATTACTCTAGGATACTTAATAATAATATTAAGTAAAATAAGCGAATGGTGATAGTGACTATGACTTTTGAAGATTATATTGCCCTCTATGTATACGCTTACAATCATCATATCTTACCGACTGATTTTTAAATTGTTATTATCTTTACTATATCTTATATAATTAAAAAAAGAAACTATTACAAAAGATCAAGTGAATTATCCTTGCTTTTTAAAATATTGTAATTTATTAAGATATTTTCAATAATGAAATTATATATTTGTTATCACTGTTAATAATTGTTAATACTATTATAAGCCTAAATATTATGCATTAGTTTTTCAACTACAATTTGTAATATATTTAATTGTTTAATATAATTATATATTTACTGAAATAGAATATAATAGATAATGCATTTTGCAGGGGAATAAGTCATAGATACGCATGTTTATATAATGAAATAATAATTAGTTGTAATTACGTTAATAAGGAGTAATCTGCTCGGTTATTCATTTTTGTCCCACCCTTTTAGTTTCTTTACACTTCCGGTTCCGATCTTCCGGTTTCTCTCTGACAAGCTACTTTTCTTATATCGCTTATATGTCGAATTTGGCAGTTCAAACTATTTTGCGCGCAGTAAACAAAATCAGTGTGTTACGATACAAACGAAAAACATAAAAAATTGTATGAGACTTAGATATAACGGAAAAGGGAATTCTGTTAGTGTAATACGAAAGCGAGATTTCTCGCTTTTATTATCTAGTATTCACGTCATGGTTGCTATGAAAATGTCACTTCACTGGTGATTCATTTGTTCATTAGCTGGCATTTCTTCTGTTTTTTAATAGAACATAATGTAAGTACATACAGACTGTTTCATTGTTATCAAATTTGAATTACGAATAAGTAACGTTGTGTATTGTATTAGTGTTTATTTGTGTGCTGTATTTGTGTACATAGTGATGTAGTTAAAGAAGGTTAAGTAGGTTAGAAAGGAGAATAAATATTCCTGTTATCAAAATGTTACATTTATAAAAACTGTTACGTGTAATGAAAAGTAAAAGAGTCTTGAAATATCTAAAATTTTATAGGTTTATTCCTATATTTATATACAACTTTCGTTGTTAAACATTTACCACGATGAAATAACAGGAAATCTTTATTTATAACTCCACCGAAAATATTTTTCGTTCGCGTAATCGATAATTAATGACAGTAAAACAGCTTTTTGTACGTATTTTTCGTAATTTATACTACATAAAATAGTAATTTTCGTAATTTTATGAGAAATATAATTATCTTATAATTGTACAATGCAACCTCTTGTTAATCCAATACCTTATCATTCCAATAACATTATTTATACTAAAAACATTTTATATTTAGGATGATGGAAGAACCATTGAGTCAAGGTGCTTCACCATCTGGTGATAGTAATTTTTCTGGAAGCGGAGAATTAAGTTCCACTACTATAATGAGTATAGATGAAAGAATGTTGGATGTTAGCTCACGGCATTCTTTAAATGTTCTTAGAACACCTCCAACCAAGAAGGCAAAACGAGTGAGATTTTTTAGAAATGGAGATAAATTTTATACTGGTATTGTGATGGCTGTGACTCCAGAAAGATATCGCAGTTTTGATAGTTTAGCATCGGATTTAACAAGAGCTTTAATATCAAGCGTGACTCTACCTAATGGTGTTAGAGCAATTTATACTATGGATGGGAAAAAAGTTCAAAGTATTAATGATTTAGAAGATGGTAAATGTTATGTGGTTTCTGGCCAAGGAGAAATTTTTAAGAAAGTGGAATATTCATCTACCAAAGTAAGAAGAGGTAGTTCTTTATCTGGATTACCTCAATCTCCAGCAGGTACTGGTAGACAAATAAGTGCAATACCACTGTGCGTAAAAGCAAAAATAGTCACTTTAATAAGACATGGTACAAAACCTCGTAAAGTTGTACGTCTTTTACTAAATAAAAGAAATGCTCCAAGCTTAGAACACGCAATGGAAGCAATTACAGAAGCTGTTAAGTTAGATTCTGGAGCAGTAAGAAAAGTCTATACACTCTCAGGGCAACAAGTTACCTCATTGGAACAATTTTTTGAAAATGATGATATCTTTATAGCTTATGGGCCTGAGAAGTCAAATCAGGAAGATTTTGAATTAGATTTTGAAGAATCTAAGAGTGTGCAAAGCTTCCGAAGATGTCCATGGACATCAAAGAGACAAATTGGTCCAATGCCAAGAATGCCACGTAAATCTGGAAAAAAAGTGCTTACTACACCTCAAGTGAGGACACCGAGTCCTTCTTCGTTAATATTACCACAACCACTACGTTTACACTATGCAGTAGGACATGTAATTGGAGAAGGTAACTTTGCAATTGTTAGGCATTGCTCTCATAAGTGAGTATTATAAGAAATTGTAGAATATTAATAGCTAAAAATAATAAAAAATCTATCTAAAAATATTTTATAGATCTACAGGTGCAGAATACGCAATGAAAATTGTAGATAAGTATAAATGTCAAGGTAAAGAAACAATGTGGGCAAGCGAAGTATCAATTTTACGACAAGTTTGTCATCCAAATATTATTAATTTAATCGCGGAACAAGAAACTACTGATCAACTGTTTTTAGTCATGGAGCTTGTAAAAGTACATTTGTTCACAAATATTTCTATTTTAAATATCAAAAATTGAAATTTACATCAAGAGAATACTCCGAATTTGCGTTATTTTAGGGTGGTGATTTGTTTGATGCTATTGCTGCAGCAACAAAATTTTCCGAAAGTGAGGCTAGTGTAATGATTGGACATTTAACATCTGCATTAGCTTACTTGCATTCACACCAAATAGTACACCGTGATGTTAAACCTGAAAACCTTTTAGTTGAAATGGATGGAAATCATGTTAGATGTTTAAAGTTATGCGATTTTGGACTTGCTCAAGTTGTAAGGGAACCTTTGTACACAGTTTGTGGTACACCTACATATGTAGCACCAGAAATACTTGCAGAAACAGGATATGGTTTGAAAGTAAATTTATTTTCTAATTAGATATATACAATTTATTAATATAATTTTAGAAATATGAAAGACAAAATAACTTTATACCATTTTAGATTGATGTATGGGCAGCTGGAGTAATACTGTATATCTTACTTTGTGGCTTTCCACCATTTGCTTCTCCTGAAAATAAGCAAGAAGAATTATTTGAGCGTATTTTAAGCGGCCAGTATGACTTTAGATCTCCATTTTGGGATGAGATTTCAGATTCTGCTAAACAATTAATATCGAATATGCTCCAAACACAACCTGAATTGAGATTTAGTGCAGAAGATGTACTTGATCATCCATGGCTAGCGGTAATTGTCATTATATATTCTATAATAGAAAATTTATTTTATTATCTTGCATGGCTTACCATGTTTTTTTTTTTTAATTGATATAAGATCGTACTAGTAGTAGCCACATGGAGAATTCTTCTTTCGATTATATACATATACAATTTTTTAATTATTTATAATTTCTTATCAATTTGCTTATTAATTATAAATTCACTGCCATGCAAAATATGCTCACTTACTATATGGCTTCATTCTTAGTTACTTGAACACAATGCTAGGAAGGCTTCTGTAGTGGTTTGCTGTATCTGTAGCAGTGCTTTTGTTTTTCTTTTGTCCCGCCTCTGTATATCAGCAGAGCTTTCTAGGCGAACAGACCACAGCATCAACACCTACCAACGCGCCGGAGCAACACTGGTATCAGCGTGAGCCGATAAAGTTGGCAATTTTTGAATTTGACTTCTTCAAAAATCCAGTTCAGGGTGATAATTCTCAAGATGAAGTTGGTGATGCTCCTGATAGCAGGACAAATGTTAAAAACAACCGGAGTGAAGTTTTATCATCAATCGAATCAAACAGCATTGATTTATTTTACAACAAAGTTCAGAAAAATTAAGTTATGCCGAAGTTGATTTTTATAACGAAAACTCAAATGATAAGACTTGTGTCTTCAGTCAATCAATGAACGATCTTATGAACAATTTAAATAAAAACCAAGTTTACTCTACCATTTAAAAATCATCGCATAGTAAAACTTGTTTGAACAGTATTCAGATGGTTAATTCAGTGTTATTAGATAGCTATTAAAATACTCTTAGAATTCAAATTATCGTGAATTGTGAAGATAATTCACTTTAAGAACATATGTCTACTTCCAATAGAAAATAAACTAATTTCTTTACAAGAATTCATAATATTTCACGTATTATGTTGAATATATGAATCAGCAGCATACCTTTAAAAAACTTAGTTCAACTAATTTTGTGACAATAGGACAGAAATATAAGTAGAAACGTCTATGAAAATTTAACGACTTGTGAAAATATTGCTCCAACTCTTAAAAGCTAAGATGTAAAAAAACTATCATAGTTTTTTAATTAATTGGTAATTTAATTAGTAGTAATAGCGATAACACGGTTAAGCAACTTTGCAACTATTCAATGTTACATGAAAACAAAGATCAAGTTCTGAACTCCAAGATCAAGTAAAAATTCTGGAAATGCTAGTTTCTATTGTGATCAAGAACCGGAAAATGATAGTGTGTGTGATCTACATGAAACTAGGTGTGTAAATGAAGTTTTATAGTTGAATCATACGAAAAGTCTTTTTTATAAGCATGAAAAGTAAACAACAGAAGTATCACAAGCTCCAACAATTACACACAATTATCACAAGCTCTAAGTAATATACAACAGCTCCCAAAAGAATTCGAACGCCTACATTTGCGACTTTTAACGAGCAAAATATATGTTAAAGTGAAACATTTGAGACAATATTGAATTTTTTTAATCTGAAGATTATATCAGTAAAATTATGAAATATTTTAACGATATACACAGTGCATTTATTACAAACACGATTCATCTGTGGATCATAAAAGTATTCACACGTACAAACGCATGCATATATTACCATTGACTATGTATTATCTTATATTAACATTTAGTTCTTTCACCTCTGGCTGTAACAATATCTTTAACTTTGTTTTCTATACTATGAAGTAATTTTTTGCGATATTTACAATAGAATTCCATATTTTTATAAATCTTTCTTTGAATACTTCTTTCCTATTTATTATACATATAATTATGTAATGACCTACTGATTTCAGACCATAAATGTTATTTATAATCAATGTCTGGGTTTTATGAGTATTTAGGATGCAGGGTATATTATGTAGTATCTATTCTTTTAAGATTCAGTCCGTATGCCTCGGAAGTAAGAATGTATTAATAAGCCTAATTTTTCTGCACTCTGTTTTAGACTCTCTTAACATATATGTAAATATGTATTTCTTAAAAATTCCATCGATAAATAATAAATTTCCAGTACCATTGGCTGCCACACGACCTCGCACCATGACAGAATCATCTCCATGCTTTACTGTTCGACGTAAGTTTCGTATTTCTATTTCGATATTCGATTTTCTTTACGTATAATTGCGTTCATCTATTAAAAAATGTTAGATTTACTTTCGTTCGTTCTCACTGCTGTGATTCCAACTTCTTCGTACTCGTAGCTTCTGCAGTTCGATAAGTACACGTAAGAATAATACGGAATTAGCTAAACATAAACAATTTTTTACTTTGTCATAGAGATTCGTTGTAAACATAGTTTAATTCTAAGCGTTCGAATACTTTTGTGATCTATCAATAGGTATAACACTGAATGCTGAGAAGATGACTAGGCAAAGAAGTGCGGATCTGATTGGTCATTTCTGATAGACTCAATAACACCTACCGATCTGTGCTTGTAATTACCATACTGTAAATATTGTATATGTCATTAAATTGAATTCTAATTTTACCGATATAATTTTGAGATTTCCCTTTTGCTACAGATATATTGCATTGAATACGTGCTCCAGTTTAATGTATACACATGTTTCCTGGTTAAAACTTAAGCATTCGAATACTTTCGTGAGTCATTGTATTTCAAACCTTAGAAACAATTTATCAAAGCGATATTCAAATATGAAATAGCCAAAAAGTAATGTAAATCCAAGAACTGCTGGAAGAAATAAAAAGTTTAATCGTTTTTCATCGTACCACACAGTAGAGAATTTGGAATTCGTTGTAAACGAGAGAGTGACTCCTTATTATCAGAGTGTGTAGAAAATGTTTTTCTACATATGGATTGTGAGATGAAAAACGGAGAGAGAAAGGTATGGAAACTAAGAAAAATATATATGCAAGATTAATCAGAAATATAATGAAACATCGTTAGGTATAAATAGATAGAAAGACGACGTTACAACATAGAATTCAATTACAAGAAAAATATAAAATGTCGAAGGTCAGTTTTAGATAGTACAGCAGCTGCCAGTAGATGCAAGTTGAGCAAGCAGTGTGTTCACATCAGATTTAACATTGTAAATCCAATTTTAACGACCGATAGAAGAATATTATCGTAATTAGATATATTTATACGATAAAATACGAATTATATACGTGAAAATTATCACGGAACTAATCCGTTGAAGAGTCCAAAGTTTTAAGTAATAATTACTTTAACGTAAGTGCACAAAGTCGATTTAACCAAGGAGGTGACGTCATTTGTTCGTAGCTCTCGAAGACATTGATCGCGAATCAATAATTCAGATTAGAACAGGTGAGCATCACACATAAACAAGACATGCCAAATGCATTTAAGTAGCTTATCTTATATTTGATATCTATTGTATGTAGTTCAAGTATTGAATTAAACTATATGTAGAAATTGCTTTATCCTTATCAAGTTGTAAGTAATTAGAGGAACATTAGTGAGGCGAAAATCGTATCGATAATAGAAAAATCCTTGTGACAAGTGACAGAGGGCGACAGTGCGAGAAATTACGAATATTTGTGTAGCTTGTTGCATATGCTTGCTCAAAGGTAATTCAACTATCGCTAGGATAAATATTTTTATAAAGCATCGCGCGTGGGGTATTATTAAGAGCAATAAAAGCGAAGCTGGTGATAATTAGATCAAGGAACCTTAGAAAACATAGTATTGGGTATGATAATCAGTAAAGAAGAATTTATTCGATACATAATGCTTTTCATATGAAATTATTTTTGTAGAAATTACGTATAGTAAATTTTACGTGCATTTTTCTCCCTTTGTCGCTTGATGATACTTTTGTAGTTACCCCGCTACAATTTCCATATTTTTTAATGGAATTATTACTATGTACTATAACGATGTACATATATAATAAGTAAGAAGTTTATAAAATATTATTTATATATATATATATAAGCATTACCATTATTGCTATTCATTTTCATAATTTGTATTGTACGTATGAAAATACTTCATACTACAATCGATTTATATATCGTACTTTTTTATCGTTAGCACGATTAATTCGTACATGTATACGCGGTATTATACAGATCAATGCTGTCCATGGTTGAAGCTCCTCGCGTGGCTTTGTCCCATCTTCCGCGCTATCGCCATGAACTAACGAAAGAAATCAGAGAAAAGAAACCGAACAGACTTAGTACGATCCTTGTCATTTTTCATAAATCTCGTTCGTAAACTAAACCAAGAGACTTTGATTTTTGCGGGAAGCATTTGTATCAGATGCGTGTGTATAGCGCATCGGTTAGGCGTCCTTGTATCATAGTGACAAAGTCAAAGCAGGAGAGACTCTCCAAGCTTCGTAGCTTATCGTGGACAGCATTGGACGTAGATTATAGAAATTTAGAAGTGATTTATGCCAAATATGAGATAGATTATTTATATTATTACGTACATGTATAAGTATTTACATACAAGATAAATCCCGTATCGACATTTGTTGCTACATTCTTTACTTCTTTTTCATTTTTGTCGCTATATATACATACATATATATACATCTATTGCATATACGCGTATATTTTCGACTTGTCTGTAAACTGTACTCTTCTTATTTCTGTCAGAAAAATGAATTAAAGCAACAAATATGATAAAAAGTGACCAAATAATAAGCTTGATTCATAATCACTTTGAAAACCATATTTCGTAAAATATGTTTATAAAATATATTTATCTTTATACAGCAAGGTATCGTACTTCGAGCGTGTATATCGTTGTTCGTCCAAGTACAAAGAGTTGTGAAATTATACGGTTAGTGAATTTGCAAAAATCTTGCGACGACGATCGCCAGCTATATCTGATGCTCGTAAGGGACGAGTCACTCCGAGCGGAAGTGCCGGTACGCGACGCTGACGATCAGTATAGCGAGTTCAGTAGTAGGCTCGCGCGCCTACCGTGAGGGTGGCTGCTCGGCACGCAGCCTGCAGCTCGCCTTTCTCGTGTTTCTCTCCTGTTCCATTACTATCGTTTTTTTCTTTTTTTTATCGATACAAGCCGTCCTTTATATTAACAACATGTTTTCCAATGGATAAACTTTCTGTTAAACCGTTAACTAAACATATCGTAACAAGTGCGTGTGTGCATCGAAGTGTGTGTTAGAAAAATTAATACATATCAACGATAGCTGACGAAACAAAGTTCACTGTGTAGTGTAAATTGGCATCGACGCTGCTCTGATCAGGTGAGACATTAATCAAATACAAATTTTAATAATATTTTCACCGAAATTAGTAGACATTTACTTTCTTATCTCTGTTAATTGCCTTCGAACAGAGTTCTTTTTTTTTGTGTATATTACGACTATTGATGCACCTTAACGACTTTGAGATTATTTTATATATATATGTATAAAGATTAAGTAATAATTGCTTATAAAAATACGTAATTAGGTTAAATATTTACGCTGATATCTGTATTATATCTCGTTTTGTATTTTTCTATTTTTCTATTTAATGTTTAAATTCAATTTCAATACTCGGTATTAATCTATCAATAATTTAGTTTGATTTCCATAGATATACTAATTTTTAATTGGTATTCTCATCGCGCTTTCCTGGGTCAAAAGTCATTTATTTTACTCTCGAACTTAAGCTTGATTTAAATAGTTGGTACTGTAAAAATACTGTTACGCTCTGATTAGCATGCAATATCGATTAATGTTAACGGTCACAGTATGAAATCTACTATCAGAATAGAAGCGTACATTTTTCTGATGTTGCGAGATGCGTAGTTTTGAATTATTTTTATTTCAATATCGCGTATTGTATATTAATTCAGGGTATTTAATTTATCTTTATCATTGTATTTTACTTTCTATGTTACGCTTTATTATCCTCGAAAGAATATATCTCGAACGAAAGCAAATAATTTTGCAAATAAATGTACTTATATGTAACGATAATTGGTCGAGCGCAGAAAAGATATTTTATATGCTTGAATTTTACAAACTTGAAGAAGTATTTAGTATTTAGTCACGAAGTGCAACACGATCCTTATTCCGTGCTGGATTAACTGTTCCAAAGTTTGAAAGAAACGCTGGTAATTTGCCAACGTATTCTTTTTCTCTACTATTAAAAATGAATGTATGGTATTCGGTGATCACGATCGTTTCATCGTTTTATTCAACAGCTTTGTCGTTATTGAATCTGAAGGCGATCGATCTCGCCAAATTTGGCGAATTCCCAACACGGTGTACAGCCTTTTTTCATGTCAATGACGTTTTCGTGAGGTAATTGCATATACACGCACGCGCTTATATAAATACAACACTGGCAGAAGATATTTCGTGTTTACTCTCTTCTTCGCTCGTTAAATTCTCGTTTCGTAATCTCTTATTCAGCCAATTGTAATAATTATGCAAAATTAAAGGTGTACCGAGCTCTTTGTTTTTTAAGGTTTGTGACTCGCGTAAGATGTTTGCATAGAAATTTCTGTTCTATTTCATAGCGAAGCTTTCGACGTAAAATACGTTCTCACTTCTGGCTTATGTTTGGTTTAGGCGGAGCTAACGTTTGATCCGTAAGCAGTACGTAAACAAACTTCAAAATAATCATACAAGCTTATCGCTTATCAGGTACACAGAAGCGTAGATGCAGGTCACGTTTGTTTTTGCACGTTCACCGAACGTAAATACGTAGTCGACTTGGCCTTGCCTCTGCATTTCGTGTTTAAAAGAAACGTGCTACAACGTATCGAACTACACGCAATTTTTTATCAATATTTAAAACAGCGGATTAATCGTTTGGCCGATCGAAACGTTCTTAATTACTGTTTTGTAAATTTTCATTCGTGTCGAAAGTCATTCGCCAAGCAGATTTCGTAATCCCGAATGACACGGAACATTAAAAAATATTCATCTTTTATCGTACTGCTTGCGTGCGAATTTAAAATACAATACGTGTTATTGTTATCATTTTTTCCTCGTAATACACGTTCATTTGCACTAATTCGAAATTACTTTGACTAAAGACGATGAATAGACCGCAACTGGTGTTCATTATCAGACGAATAGACGCGATTCTTGCAAACGTTTATCCTACTTTCATAAATTACATATCTGCGAATCAGCCTTTCATCTACGCTGTATTATCCTGATCATATTAGAGTCATACTAGAGTTTTAATTATCCGCAATAGTATCTCAGAGACAAGCTACAAGTTCTGTGTACATAGTCGAAGAAATCAAAGTAGCAGGCCCGATCGTGTCCAGTTGGAGAAGAACACGGCGAGCTCTTCCGGCATGGTACTCGACGCGGACATTTAACGCATCAACGTTAATTTGTTAGCCTGACTGTTAGTTAGGTTTGGTTAGCGTGCCTGCCGTGCGTATTTAACGCGCACGCATTAAACACATTCAGAGTGATGAATGTTCTAGCATTCGTTTCCCGTATAATTGCCAGAGTAACATCTCTGTGCCTTTGTTTTCTCCTTTTCCCCCGAGCGCTGTACTTCGTCTCGTGCGTTTTTTTCACTTTTCGTCTTATCTGCTCGGGCAAGAATCTGTTAGGCTAAAACTATCTTCCTTTCGTTAGCTTTTATTCTTTCTTGGATAATGAAATGTCATTTTACTACTGCATTTTACCTTTGTTGCACCTTTCTAACAGATTTGGTGAATTTTACAACTTATATATTTCGCGACAAAGGAAGTAGATCGAACAATTTTACGAGTTCGTCGTATCGGAACGATACGTCGTATAATAATTCTACGATAGTTTTATTAGATTGTCTAAAGTTATTGCATCTAACTACAGTGCTGCAACAGGCAAAACGTATCGTAAAAATGTCTCATTGTTTCGAAGAGAATTCACGTATGTAATCATAAAATACGCCATGATACGGATAACGGTATTTGTGTTTTATGGGATTCGCGTTGTGGATGGCCAAAGGTTGTGATGATTTATCTGGTTTGGGATCTTCGCGATCCCGAACCCTACGCTCGTAATCATTGTTTCGGGCCATATTCTCGGCTATCTTTTCAATATCCGAAAAAAATTGCGATACTCGGACACTTAAACGGCATAATGGAGAGTGCACGGAAACTGTCGTGCAGACGATCCACGGTACCGATAGCGAAAGAACACGGCCAATAACATCGTTAGACCGTTCAAGCTGGTAAAATGTCGTTGAATTACATTCGACATTTTTCAGATTCCAGTGCTCAACTTTTAATCCCGACGATTTTTCTTCTATACGAACGTGTGACGTTTCCTTAAAGACTTAAACTTTGTTTCTGGCTTCGAATACAGCTCCCTAATAATGTTCCTTACATCGATCATCGATGTGTTTCCAAGAC